GAGGGCATTCAAGACGGAGTGCTACAGCCAGGCACTGAGGATCAGCTGGACTGACCGCAGAACAAACGAGTCAGACCTTTGGAGACGCAGAAACAGCATCAGGGCCTGGAACCTCTGTGACCCACATCCTTCAGGCCAGGATGGAGGGAAGCGTTCAAGGGAAAGACGAAGATAGTGTTGATGCCGACGGACGACATCAGAGACCCGACGGTTGGCAAACACTATATCAGTCTATCAGATGCAAGTAGCAACATGTTTAAATAAGACGTAAAATGAAAATGCTAGATTGAGTTGGTATAGGGATGTAGAAAATGGAGCTGAGAGTTGCACAATATATCCAACATTATCCACAACAGACTGTGCAATGTAAGTCTGAATTTCAACATCAAAGGGACTCCAGTGCAACTACGAACTAAAAAACAACAGACTTTCAAGCATGAATAGAACACAACCTTTGCAACACCTGCCTGGGAATTACAAGGAGAAAATATCCTTTATGGATTTTGTGTTGCCTGTATAGCAGCGTCTAATGTGAAGGCAACTTGGTAACAAAAAAAAAGAAAGTATTTCAAGAGTTTGTTTTCACACTGCTGTTTAGACCAAGTCATATTTTAGGGGATAGGTTGTTGAATGTGAGATTTTCCTTCTGTGGCTTTTATTTTGTGGTCACAGCATTTATCTAATTCAAACAAGAGAGAGAAAAAAGGCTTTTTCTTAACAAGAAGAGTTTTGCACATTAGGATGACAAGCACAGCTGACAGGCAATTTCTGCTTGACCTTATCCTTTAAGAAGGAACAACATTGGCTTCTGGTCACATTATTTTTCTGCTGCATTACACAGGTTTGAGAAGTGCCACCTATAATATTGAAAAGACTGTAAGGTCCTCTGGCCACTCACTAAAAGACAAATCAAATGTGACTTTGATGCCACCAAATATAATTTGTAGACATCCAGGGCCATATTTGTATTGACTTTTTTTATTTATTTTTTAAGTAAGATCTTTGCAAAACAATTGCCTTTGAGTTGGTCTGGGTTGTGATTCTGTTTCCAAAAGCTGGCAGACACAGATAACAAAAACAAAAGGATTAAACCACGGTGTGCAGATTTTGTGCCGTTCATCTGTGCTAAAGGAACTGGCTCCAGCCATGTCATAGTGATAGCCTTTTGAAGAATGTAAGAGGGTGAAAACAGGTTTTTATCAGTAAAGAAAAAATAACCTTTTGTTTAAAAGGATCTCCAATGCTGCACAAATGGTCAATTAAAACTTCTGCGTTTTTGGGTGATCTCTGAACTGATTAGCTTAGATAGAGCTACAATTATTCCATCAGTTAGAAGAACCTTTAAAGCTGCAGTATGTAACTTTTATAAATATGTTTCTTGCATGTGTGTTAAAACTCACTGAGTCATGACAGAATAACATGAGACAGCTAATGTGTGAAAAGTGAAGCTCCTCTGTCTCCTCCCTGTGATTCTACTAATATCTGCAGAACTACGGCACTCAGTCTGAAATAACCAATCAGAGCCAGGAGGAGGGTCTTAGTGCTGACAGTCATCCTTGTATACGTGCTGCTCACATCCTCCCCCTTGATCTCTGCTACTCTTCAGCCAGTTCACCAAAACGAAGTCTGTTGTGAATGCTACGGCTAGTCAGCATAGCCACCGATGACAGCGGATACAGTTTTCCTGTCAGGGTAAATTTTAACTCCACAATTGTAGATAGAAAACAAAGGAAGAGCACATTTCAAAATGTCAAAATTTTTCAACTTTTTAAACTCAGAAAATTCTTCTTTTTTTTTCCAAGAAAATTTCTGAGAACAATCTCAATTTTAGTTTTTTTTTCTATTTTAAAAAAATTTTAAGCTCAGAAATGTCCTTTTTTTGGCAAAAATTTTCTCTACTTTTTCTATTTGCAATTGCAAAAAAGTGACAGTTTTAAAGAATATGTGAAAAAAAAGACAAAAAGAAACACTCTTATAAAAGTTACACACACATACTTCAGCCTTAAAGGGAAGGTTTTTGATCAGGTTGAATACAGAATCTGGCACAGTTTACTGGGCTGAATTGATTTAGCGCACACAGAAAAGAGTTCACACAGATATCGCACACAGTCATTATCTCATTTGTAAAGCCATGAAAAGTATTTACCCTCCTTGTAGATTTCTTCTACTTTAATTTTCTTCCCTCACACAAAGATATTTAAGTTCAAAGGGGATTTTAATATCAGACAAACAGAAACTGATTAAAGTCAAAAAGTAGTTTTCAAATGATACATGAATCATGGTTTCGCCAATGACAGCTGTCCTCACCCAGAGTAGCAAACTAGTGCCCCACCATGCTTATGTCTGCAAACATGTAACAAACAGTAACAGAAAGTCATCTAAGGAACCGAAATCTAAATGCCTGATAAAATAAGTAAACACAGAGGAATGAACCAAGATATAAGGACACCAAAATTTAAGGAAATGCATAAAGAGATGTAATAAGAAACTCAGAACTGAATCTAAGACCGATTACAATTAAAAAACGGAAATGATAAAAAATGGAAACGGGTTCAATCGCCTGCAGATCATGACAAGCAATTAGTTTTAGTCGTATAACTCGTGACCTCATGGACCAGTGGTCTTTATTCTCCTGGGGAAATGTTGGTAGCCCAGCAACATTTTGAAATATTCAGCCCCGCTCCATGTTTTGTCCATTTGTAGACAATAGTTCTCACTGTGGTTCACCCAAAGCCTTAGAAATGACCTTGTAACACTTATGCATACTGACAAATGTCAACCAGTTTGTTTCTAGTATGTTCTGGAATGTCGCTAATATTTGCGAGGGACTGGATATTTGATGTGGAAGGCCGACCGCTGTTACGAAACAAAACTTTCCCACCCCAGGAACAGTGTGAACAGTCCAGTTTTTAATGGTTTCACCAGCTATAGCCTCTTACTGAAAAATTCATTAAGCCGTTGCTGAGAAAATCTTACTGAAATATAAACATTGTTACCAATATAAGCATTATTTACAGGCGACATCGCTTCATTGTCACTTGGAATTATCTGATGTACAGAGTTCACAGTCGACGCCATGACTGCAAGGTCTCCCAATATTTATATGAGTTGTTTTTGGTCTTTAGCAAAGTTTCGATTAATTTTTGTTTTATCTCCCCAAACTATTCAATTTCACTTATAGGCGAACCTTGCAAACTTAAGTTGTGTTGTCATATTCAGAAAGAAGAGGATTTCTCCTGGCAGCGTTTCCATCAACAGAATACTAGTTACATATTTTCTTATTACACTGCAGTGAAATGTAATATTTACCATGTTCTGTGATGCCTGTTGAGCCTGAGATGTATCTCTCCATCCACTCCTTCCCAGACTAATGGGCAACAATAATTGCTTCTCTGTGGTCACTGCTGATTTCTTCTCCTCCTTGGCATTGCTGTAGCTGTAATCTTAATATTCCAGAACACAGCTGCCAAACTCCCTCTGACAGGTGGTTACTCTTGTGGAAGATTGGTTAAACTGCATTTGATTCATGGCACTGGTCTCCTATTTTTCCCACTTAAATCCAATTTTTCACACAGCCTTTTCTTCTGTTCTTGTTTTATAAATTTTAAAAAAGTAACTATGTGAAATCTCAGTTGTGCATCTGATAAAAGATCAAGTTTTTTTTTCACGCAATGATGTGTGGAGTCTTTTTTATTAGATCGGTCTTGTTTTTGTTTTAATTTATTTCAGTCCTTCTGTAATTCTAGTTTATTGTGTCTAATTATTCTTTGTTACTCTAGTTTAATTATGTTTCATGGGTCTATTTCTTCTTCTTCTCTTTTTTATGGCGGTTGGCAATTATGTGCATTATCACTACCTTCCAGATTGGAGTATAGATCAGATGCTTTCACTATAATCTTCCCAAAACACTCATTCTTCTTAAAACCCCCCCCAAAAACAAAACAAACTAAAAATACTGCTAAAAACTTCATCCTCAGATGATCTTTGAAACAATTCCCTTATTTACTTTTATTCCTATCTAAATTTCTAATTAACACCTCTTATTACACTCTAAAAATATATGTTGTACTGTTTCTATTTGTTCCTAATAATTACAACAACCTGTATTATTTTAAGAGTACTATTTAATCCTGTGTCCAAATCTTATTCTGGATATAATATCTTCCTTTTTATTCTATTACATTTTCTAAATTCCCCACCTTTTTTGGATACTATAGTACTACCTCCTCTATCCCATTGTTCTCGGCATTTCTTCTTAATATACATTTTTATAATATATATTTTTTTTATCTCAGTTTTACTTATTTTAATATTTAAATCATCAATATTCTTTTTTGCAGCACTTTTAGCAAAACTATCAGCCAACTCACATGGGGTCTATTATTTATTTTCTAGTCCCCTGTACTACTTTCTCTCTCTTTCTCTCAAAGTCTGTCTTACAAATCACAACTGGGGGTTTTCTGAGTTACTCCTACTTTCCAGAGGGAAGTCTCACTTTGGAGGTTGTTCCAGATGATTTTTGAGACTTGGAAGTAGAATTCCAACTACTAGGGGAACACAGCATGTCAGATGTGCAGCAGCCATGTTTGATTTTGAGGCTGGGTTGGTGAGAAACCTATTGGGACTTCCTTCTTTTTTTGTACAAATGTGAACCACTGAGTATAGGGAAGGATATTTATATGTAACATACATATAAACATCCTTCAACTTAACACATAATGATAACCAGTTAAAAACAGCAGAAAGGTATGACCGTCATAGCCTACTGAAATATTAAAATAACTAATCATAATAGTGAGTGGAAAACTTATTAAAAACTTATTAACCTAGTGTTATTTATTTGAAAAAGGCTGAAAACCAATATCTCAGGTGATGGTTCGAAATATTACGGATATACACAAAGGTGATTTGAGGGGAAGATGTCGTTATTATGCTCTCTCACGTACAACAGAACACGTCGCTCCTCGTTAACAGCCAATCGGCGCCTTTACTTTTGAATGACGTCACCTCACCACCCAGTTCACGGAAGCTGGAAGTTTCTTGTTTCCTACAGTCCGCCCCTTTTCTTATTTAACCATACTACAAAGAAGCACTTTTTGGAACTAAGGGAAAACAGAGCACGGTTTAGCTATCGTTACTCAGATTAGAAGTCTTTTTGTGTGTGTGTGTGTGAAAAAACCTTTTCGCGGTTGTGTACGGAAGGCGGCGGGGGCAGGACGCAAAGTTTACACATCACTCCATCTGAAGATGTTAGCCTCAGATCTCTCCGCTGAACTCCATGATGACCAGGCACAAAAAGTAAGTACCGACATAGAATAATGAATCCACGATGTGAGTGTTTGCGGGGACTGGAGGTGAAATTAGGACGCTGTAACTTGAGAATTCGCTTCCTGCTGCTGGGCGGTGAAGGTAGGTCAAAAAGGTCGGTTTCGCTATAATCCAAACGTTTGTTGACATAACCTCAGTAACATCTGTAACAGGAAGTCATAAGAGCAGCAACACGGAGAACGGGACAACTCTTAAAGTTTAATACTTAAAGCTACGTCACTATTTTATTTTAAGTTAATTAAATATCAGTTGTTTTGTAATAGGCCAAAAGTGATTCATGCCCTACGTAGATTTTCATGTAAAGTTGCTAATTTTTGATAGGAAAGGACACTTACAACTCTATTGAGACAATACAGCAGTGTACAAGGAGTAGTATTTGTATATATAGAAGAAACAAAACAGTATTTTAACAAATATTGCATGCTAATTTATATATACCTTTCTCAATAATGAGTGAGAAAACATTTCTGTGGTGTTTTTATTATTTTTTTGGTGATGATATCCAAGTCTTTGAGGCTGATAGGCCTCTTGCCATCACCCTAATCTTTTGTTTCCTCCTTAGATTGAAGTCAGCCTTGCACCACTATACAACCCTAAAACTACTTCTAGTCAGAAGAGATGTGTTCAGTTAAAAGATTACTATCCTAAATTTTTCAGGTATATAAAAAATCAGGAGAGAAACATTATTAGCTTGTGCTGCTACAAGTACTTAGCTTTTTCAGCAACTACATTATTCAGCAAACCTCACTGGCCTTTGAACTTGGAACTGGATCATGGCTAAGTTAGATTTGATGTCATTCCCAGATCTAAGTTCTCATTTAATGTGGAACATATTATACATCAGAGGAAACCAGCAGTGTTTGCTTCTGGTTTACTTTCACAAGCCAAATTTAAGGACAAACTCAGAGGATTAACTATGGCCTTGGGCAGTCCAGCAAATGATCTTTCCAGCCACATGTTACAACTTTTTGTTTTTTAGCAGAACCATCCTTCAGTCTTGACCAATTCTCACTAAAGTTGACTAGTTTTTCCGCTACAGTGACAATGGAGAACGACAAGTTCACATAAGCATTTTTCAAGAGCATTAAGTTGTATAGCTTTGTGTAAACATTCTTGGTATGAATGAAAATGAGCTGAAGTGCAAATCCAGCTTCCAGTAGTAGTAAACCAGCCCCAAAGGCAACGGAGACGTTTACAGCAGCAGAAATGCCGTCCTTCATGGCACGTGCAGAAGAGCATGTCAGCGTTCCTCTACAGGTGCGCTGTTACTGTGCATCCAGGTACAACTTGTACACACATGCTGTCTATACATATAAAAATGATTCCACAGTAATGATATTTTATTGTTTCAGAATGATTTCCTTAGTTGAATCTCCAGTGTGCTCTGCACTTGCTACTTTTTGAAATGTTTGAAGATAAAATCAAATTGTTGACATTCTCTGTTGGGTAAAGTGGATAAAAAAATTATTAATTTACGTTTTTCTTTTGATGAAAATATACCAAAATTGTTTCAGAAAAAGTGTGACTCTGTATAGGACCAACACATAATGTGTCTTAATGCAAAAAAGTAAAATCAATCCAATCATGGTGGTTACAGCTAAACATCATTTGGCTACTAGAATAGAGATCCGGTTTCTGCTTTTGGTGTGATAAATCTGTCATTCTGTCACAACCTAAGTGGGTTAAATCAATTTTATTACTAGATTGGATCTAATATACCCTTTTGACAGCAGGCATTATGACTTGTCACAGAATAACAAGCAATATGAAGCTCAGAATGTCAAATGATATCTCTCTTTTTTTTTTTTCTTCATCAAAAGTTCTTGTAGGATTGTTCAGTTCCAGGGACCCCCTGCCATGAATATTTCAGAAAGCTTGCAGATTCCAGCTCGTGTTATTTAAATGAACGGTCAACTCTGTTGGGCTGACATTAAGCTCGGCCGCAGCTCAAGTATGACTCATTCATTTTAATCAGGTGTGTTTGTGGCAGGGTCCATCTAAAAGCTTCACGGCAGCCGCTCCCCCCCTGGGGCCGAGAAACTGCGAAAGACTGCAGTGAGCCGTGACACGAGCCGCGGGAACTTCTCTACATTATTAATACACTTGTGACTTTTTAGCTGCAGAGACATGCCAGAATATGAAATACAAAAGTTCTGGTTTTGATTATTCAGCTACATGTACTGCAGCTCGAGGTGCCATTAAGGCATAAAGAACATATTGCGTTTCCACAGCAAACTACAATTTCTCTGCTTCCCTCGAGTTCAGACAATGCCATTATTTTTCAAGTGATTGTAAACTTGAACTAGTCGATGGTTTGACACGACTCAGAGTCAGATTGGGTATCAAAAGATAGTTGGTTGACGTATTCTCATTTATCCAGACTTTAAAGGCCGATTCGATTGTTTAACTAAGTAAATTTCAGAAACTCCTCATCAAAGTCTTCATATGGAAAAGAAACCGACAAGTGGTAACATTTCACACTGGTGGATAATGTAGTTGTAATTATTCCTGTCGCCATAACAAATTTTGCTGGACGATAAATTGTCCCAGAAGTTATTTCGATAAACGATAACATTGTTGTTTCGAGACCATTTTAACTAATGATAATGATGTCGCTGGTGTAACTTTAAGGAGCTTTTGTGTAAATTAGCTTATTCATCTGTGACTTTTAATTTTATTTCTTATTTATTGGAAACACCGCAATTGTGAAATTGCATTTTGTTGACGTAGCTGTATATAGACAAAGATTTGAAGTGGAAATGCAGCTTATGAAAACGAATCCTTGACCCAAATTAAGGCTTTCTACAGATGCTGACTGCAGCCCAGTAATGATATGATACCACAGAGTGAAGAGCTGAAAGAACAAAAAGCATCTTCAAAGGCCATGCTCTTTCTACGAAGGAGAACAACTTCCTGAAAGTTTAGTCTGCAAAACATTTTATTGAAATCAAGTAATGAGCAGAAATGGCAGCTGCCACATTGTAGCCGAGAGGCTGGTGGAGTATTTTAGCCTGCTGTTTCTGCAAACACTTGATGTGTTTTAGAGAATAAATGAAAACTAGAAAATTCCTGCAGAAATTTTGAGGGGCCTGCCAAAGTGTGCCCGTCGGTTTGGACCCAGCGTTCCGATG